AAATTAAAACATGAACTCTTTCACTTCTATATATTACAGTGAAAATAAAAAAAAGAATTACACTAATTAGAAAGTTAAAAACCAGTTATAATATCACGTTTTACACAATTCAATATTAGTCTGTGGCTACATTATATGGTAAAACTATACGATAGTGGAAAATAAAATTCTATCACCTGAAAAAAGAAATAACTATATGTACATTGGTTTAGTAGTTAAAAATTCGCTGGGGAAATCAAAAGACAGTCTTTTTTTTTATTTCGAGTTTCGACAAAATTATCTAACATTTCTCAACAGTCAACAACATCCTGCGATGGTTAGAAACAATAGAATCGTTTTCTTAGCGGGAGTATATAAACGGTCGATGACCTATCGTGGCGTTATTTTGGCTGGCGCACAAAAATATTCCCGTCAATTCGAGAGCAGGTTCCTAACAGGTTCAAAAAACTTGTTAACAGGGGGCGAGGGGAATTCTAAATTTTAATAATAACCCAAAACTTTAGGGGAAATGCATCTAATTTGTATTTTTACGCCACTCCACATCATTTGGCTTCGAAACCATGTGGATCGAAAAATATACGAGAAAATAAATAGAAAATCGATAAATAACAAAAATTAAACGAGAAAATAAATAAATAACAAACAATAAACAAGAGAATAAATAAATAACAAAAACTAGACAAGAAAATCAATAGATAATAAAAAATATAATTAAAAAACATTAATAAATAAAATAATTTTATACAGTCAGTTTTTATATAATCTCCCCTCAAATTTTTCAAAAAGAAGATAAATAAAAGAAACATTTTTTTTCTTATAAAAAGAGGAAAATACAGGAAAATAACAAAGAGAATTGAAGTTGCGAATTTAAGAAAGTTCAAAGGCCGGAACTACTGATAGTAATGCTCCATTTCGAGTAAAGCTCATAAAAATACACTCGATACAATTCCTTTTTTTTCTCGTCTTTTAAGAGCACGGAAATTTTTTTTATACATCCACATTTCTTTGTGTAATTCAAAACAATACCTAAAAAGAATCACAGACAATCCTCTCTTAAAATAACTTCTCAATTTAAAAATATTATTTTATTCCTAAATTGTACGTTATAATAATAATAACAACAACAATAATAATAAAATATTATTATTATTATTATTATTATTATCCTGAAATTTTTTATTCAAATACAATTTATTTAAAATAAAATGTTATTTAAATATTTATTTGACAATAAATAATTTGAATAAAAAAAATATTTTTTCCTAGTAAAAATATAAAAAAATATTTTTATATAACAAGCATATTACATTTTTTAACTTCTTTTTTCTTGGTACAATTAAAAAAGAAGATTGTACTTCTGAGTCAATTTTTGCTTTAGTATTTGTATTGTGAAGTATAAAGCTGAAGGAGAAGTGTATAATTTTGAAGAACGGAAACCCACTAAAATGCGCAAGTCTTCGTAACAAGTCATTATTACGTGCGTAATTTTCTCATGACAAAACTGTTTGAAGCAAATATCTATATCTATATCTATATATATATATATATATATATATATATATATATATATATATATATATATATATATATATATATATATATATATATATATATATCACGTAAAAAAGGACAAAAGGAAAAAAAACTGAAGCGGAAGAATAAAAAAGATGGTTTGCGAATGGCACAACAAAGATTATACACTAAATGACGTATATATTGACAGCATTCACATGTTTCAAAAAAGTGGGTTAGCGACTGATGAAGCTCTCTTCAAAATATACCTATATTTATAATTTTCTGTATTTCAATTTTCACAATATTTTTCAAATTCATGATGATTCATTTTCTTTTCAATTCAAATTCATTCGTAAACAAAATTTTAATAAATTTTCTCAGCGTACACTGACAAAAAAAAATTATTTCATTAAAATTACTTCTCGATTATCAACTAAATATTTATTCGTATCAAATAATTTAATTATCCACGCAAAAAAAACTTTCACTTGGACCAAACATAAGTTTCAGTAGAATAGCGAAAGTATTCATCAAAATAAATAAAAATTTCGCTAATATATATAAAAAAATTTGTTGCGGTTCCAGGTGAAGATTTTTTTTCGTATCAAATAAATATTTATTTGTATCAAAAAATGTAATTATCAAATAAATATTTATTTGTACCTATCAAATAATTTAATTATTAAACGAATATTTATTTGTATTGAATAATTTAATTATCAACTAAATAATAAGAAGAAAAATAATAAGAATAATAATAAAAATAGCAGTAATAATAATGAGAACAATAATAAATATTGTATTTCAATTCATCAAAAAAATATTATCACAGAAAAAAAATTTATCATCAACTTAACTTGGATGAAATAAATTTCTTTTTCAATGTAATATTCGTAATGTAGAGAAAAAAATATTTCCAATATATATAAAGAAAATTATAGCACGAGTCATAAATTTCGTATACAATACAATATTTCAGCAGTAAAAACTTTTTTTCCCTCCTCCCCAGGGAGAAATAATGATAATGATAATAATAATAATAATAATAATAATAATAATAATAATAATAATAATAATAATAATAATAAAAATAAAAATAATAATAATAATAATAATAATAATAATAATAATAATAATAATAATTCATGCAGATAAAAGTTATAGAAATCCACAAAGCAGAAACAATGGAAGGTGTTAACAATAGTTGAGATTACATCAACAATTAAATACACAACTGGCAATTTGCAGATCTAACTGAACAAATGGAATATTTAACAAAAAGGCAACCGAGGAATTCAACAATTTTCATTTTTAAATTTTAACAATAATATTCACTGTATTTCGGTAAAAATATTTACCAAAAAGTATAATTATCATTAAAAATTTATCGAGGACTTTGAAGATATATATTTAACAATTGACAATTGTATTAAAAATCCAAATAACTTCATAATGATTCAACGATTAATGTATCAAGAATCTTCTGTGTAAAAATCAAAAAGTAAAGATTCAAAAATATAAAAATCAACCATCACTGAAGGTTCAACAAAGTAAAAATGAACTAAAGATTCAGTAACTTCATTAATAACGAAAGATTCAATAACTAAAGATTGAACAATATTAAAAATTCAACAACCAAAGATTTAACGATGGAAGATTTGAACAAATCAAGAAGTAAAAATCAACCATCACTACAGTTTCAACAAACTAAAAATGAAAAACTAAAGATTCAGTAACTAAAACTCCACCAACGAAAGATTCAATAACAAAAGATTGAACAATCAAAAATTCAACAACCATAAATTTAACAATAGAAGTTATAAAAAAAATGAAGCAAATATTGAAAATTCATTGAGACAATGAAGAGTCAACAAACAATTATATTAAAATCACAAAAGATACTATTTCAATTTACAATAAACGATCGTTTCAATAAAACAATTGGAAAGAAAAAAATAAAGAAAATTACGAACGCCAATCGCAAATAAAAAATACAATTGCCATTTTTTTCTAAAATAAAAAGTCAATAAAAAAAAAGTTGTAATATTTATAACAGTCACTTGACACTATTAGTGAATGAAATGGAAAATAAAATGTTCCTGAGGCTCAATAGTATGTAAAGAAATATTAATCGTGATGCCTTGGGACAATAATTTCAGTCAAGGTCGATTTCACGTGCATGCACATAGAGGATTTGCACACACATATTATAATAAAGTTCACGTTATTTCACATTATTCAACAGTAAAAACGGATTTTTTTATACACGTGATTAGTGACAATTGCAATATTAGTATAGAAAGCGACGACTTTTTTCCATTCTTTCTGCTTGCAATTTTATTCAGACTGGAAACAAGGTGCACACGATGACGTAATCAATATATGATTCAGAGCCGGATGGGCAGAAATAAGACGTTAACATAAGACTCTACTCGGATATTTAGTCTAACCATATTCAGCAATTGGTGTATATATATAAAACCGGAAATACTTTTAGATAAGCAAACCTTTCACTTGAAAATTGAAAAAACTTTTCTTTTACCTATTTTCCTTAATAAAAATTATTGAAAACGAGAAATCCTGGTTTGAAAATTAATTTTTCTTTTTATAATATCTCTCCAACGCGGTAGTGACAATTTGAAACGTATTCCCAGGCCTTTTGTGACTAATGCATCAAGCATTAATTACAATGACAAATAGTCTTTCTTAATACAAAGAACTTTCCATTTTTTTTAAATTCTTTTTGAAAACTCATTCTTCCGAGCGATAATTTTTATATTTAATTTTCTTTCAATTTATATCAATATTTTCAAATTCCAAAAGTTTGGAGCAACAATTTTCTTCTATTTTCGTATTTTTTAAAATTGTGATCCTAATAAAGTTCTGAATGTTCCAACGAACGAATTTCATTTTTCTTCTTTAAATTATATTATTTCAAGTGTTAATTTAAAAACATCAAATTGCAACGGATTACTACAAAAAATGTGGATCAAATCATAAATTGAAGCGAATTTTTGGTACCAATTTTGTTAACTTTGGAATCATTTTGTACCCTCAAGAAAACTGTGACAATAATTTTGCATTACTATCAATTAATTAGTTTCCAAATGTATATTAAGTTTTTAATTTTTCTCACCATCAGTAATTAAAAAAAAGGAAGGAAAGGAAAAATACAAATTAAAGAAGAAGATTATGTAAACAAATTTTGAATTACAAACAATTCACAATTTGAATACTTGTATCAAAATATTTGTTAAAAAAATTGATCACCTAAAATAAAAATTTTTCTTTCCAGAGAAAACACAACTCTCGAGGGAAAATGTTTGCCGTGCGAGAAGAAACGAATAAAATAACGAAAATTAAGAAAAAAAAATTCCTTAAAAACAAGAAGGAGAAACACTTTCAGCTAATCGACCAAACAAAATAGCAGAAGGCAAAAAAAAAGTTTTGCCTTCAAGAGCATAATTACGAGAATGCTTGAAAACCTTGAGGCAGTGCATAGCATTTTCTATCGTCAAGGGCGTGTTACGTTTTCACGAGCACTCACTCCTCTTGTTTTTACACAATCACTGCATGTTTCGTGTTTTATCACTAGAAAAAAACCAACAATTTTAACACTTTTTCCCCTCAACACATTCCATTAGACGAAAAATACTTTTAAACAATAATTCAGAACACGAACTTGTACAATACAGAAAATAATTTTTCTCCAGACAATAAGTTTCTTATCTATCTTTTTTTTTCCTCCACAACCGAGAAGAATATAAACCGATATCAAAAACACGTATAGGAATTTAAAGTGGCTACATGATGCGTATGTCACACAGGCACGTTCAACATCAACTGCGTGCCACGCGCTTAGAAAGTGCCTAGCCTCATGGGCTTTAGTCTCTCGACGAAACTCGCTCAAGCGCCCACGCTTCTCTCTCTCTCTCTCTCTCTCTCTCTCTCTCTCTCTCTCTCTCTCTCTCTCTCTCTCTCTCTCTCTTTTACGAATAAAAATGAAAGTTTCCACGTTCTCGGTCGATATACTGGACTAATGTCAAAAATCTTGTTTGAAATTTTTTTTCGGGCTTCCCCCCACCACTTGATTAATTTCGCTTTTTTTTATCACTAAATCAGAAATCTCTCTCTCTATCTCTATCTCTTAGTCAAGGACCGTATACAAAATACCAGAAGCCATGCTCTCACCATCAACTGGTCCATTTCGTACCTATTGAAATCCTTTTAGACATCAATCTTTCACGGGGAGATTTCTCAAGCGAAACAATTAAACGAAAATTTCTCGAAACAAAAAAAAGGTTCAGTGCCGAATAAATTTTAATTTAAAACTTTAATTTCTTAATTTTAATTTGAAACTTTAATTTATAAATTTTAATTCAAAACTTTATAGTACCGTCCGAAATTGTCAGTCCACCCATTTTTAAAGGAATGAAAAAAATTTTTTAACATAAAATTCATGAAAACTAAAATTTTTTTTTGTTTATATTTTGAAAGACGATAAAATTTTGAAAAGAATAAGACCTTACAGAAGTCATTTGGCCAAAATTTGTAGAAGATATTCTTAAAAATCGTCATTTTCAATGTTTTACAAAAATTTGAATAACTTCTAAAATAATGAACGCTTTTTAATAACACAGGTCAACAAAAAAAGACTTACTTTTTTTTATGAGATAGCGGAATGGTTTCCTATGTATTTTTGGACGCTGAACACGATCCCGACTTCCAAAATTGCCCATCACGTCAGGATTTTGAGAAAAGTGGGGGTAAAGACCCCAAAAACGCTTTTTTGAGGAATTTCAACATTTATTTTCTCTTTAACCTGACGTGCTAGAGACTTCCACAAGGTCTTAAATTAAAGCTTGTAATGTGCACTACAAGACCCATATCCATAAAATAAAAAAAAATTAAATTTTTTTTCAAAAAATGGGGTTGAAGACACCAAAAATGTGTGTTTTTGGATTGCTTTAATAGACTTTTTGCAATTGCTTGGATTCGTTTGAAAATGGTTACTTGGGGTTTTTGGGGTCGCTGATTACGAATCCGATATTAGTTTGCAAAAATTAAAAATGGCGGAGTCGTAATCAGCGACCCCAAAAACCCTGAAATAACAATTTTCAAGCGAATCCAAGCGATTGCAAGAAGTTTATTAAAGCAATCCAAAAACACAAATTTTTGGTGTCTTCAATCCCATTTTTTGAAAAAAAATTTTATTTTTTTTTATTTTATGGATATTGGTCTTTTAGTGCACATTATAAGCTTTAATTTAAGACCTTGTGGAAGTCTCTAGCACGTCAGGTTAAAGAGAAAATAAATGTTGAAATTCCTCAAAAAAGCGTTTTTGGGGTCTTTACCCCCACTTTTCTCAAAATCCTGACGTGATGGGCAATTTTGGAAGTCGGGATCGTGTTCAGCGTCCAAAAATACATAGGAAACCATTCCGCTATCTCATAAAAAAAGTAAGTCTTTCTTTGTTGACCTGTGTAATCTTAGGCTTATTTTAAAGGTCATTTTCTACGGAATAAGAATTACTTATAGGCATTAACCTGTAATTTTTTACTTAGAATAAGCATGACGTCAAAGTTGGACAAAAAAAATTCAAAAAATTTGAAATAATATTATTAAAAAAAAATAATTTTTGAAATTCAAACATATTTTTTTATTAAATTTTCTTGAAAAATCTACACCATATCATGTTTTATATATATAGGTATGTTCTAGAATAGTTTTTAGTACAAAAAATTTATTTCAAATTTTTCTAATTTTTTTGTCCAACTTTGGCGTCATGCTTATTCCAAGAAAAAAATTACAGGTTAATGCCTATAAGTAATTCTTATTCCGTAGAAAATGGTCTTTAAAATAAGCTTAAGATTATTAAAAAGCGTTCATTATTTTAGAAGTTATTCAAATTTTTGTAAAACATTGAAAATGACGATTTTTTAAGAATATCTTGAAAAAATATTTGTCAAATGACTTCTATGAAGTCTTATTCTTTTCAAAATTTTATCGTCTTTCAAAATATAAACCAAAAAAAATTTGAGTTTTCATAAATTTTATGTTAAAAAATTTTTTTCATTCCTTCAAAAATGGGTGGACTGGCAATTTTGGCCGGTACTGTAATTACGAAATTTTTATTTAAAACTACAATCTCTAAATTTTAAATAAAAACTTCAATTTCCAAACTTTAATTTGAACTTTAATTTCTAAAATTTAATCTACAAATAAATACTTAAATAATAAAAAGCAAAAAAAAAAATTTATATACTATTTTTGAATTTTACTTTCGCGCATGTAATTCAAATTAAGAGAAATAATGATCTATTGTTATAATTTATTTAAAACAATCTAATTCGCTTGCTTAATTAATAAAAAACAGTAAAAAATATTTATATATAACTTAAATTAATTCACAGTAAATTTCACTAATAAATTAGTAGAAATGACTAAATATTAGTAAAACTTACTAATTAAAATTTAGAGAGTAAATAAAATAATTAATTAATCGAAGTATGAATTAATTGTTTCAAATAATTAGGAATACGAAAAGATTTGCTGATAATTTTTTTTACATCCGCAACAGAAGAGTTAAATTTACAGATAAACGAATTTACAATCAAGTATAAATAATGAATGAATTTTTTTTTATCTTTACACTCTGTACTAAAAAAAATATTAAGTATAGCCAATGAATCCCTCGAGCTATAAAATATGAAAGTCCCACATTTTAACTTATTAAAATTTCACTTCTCACTTATCTTCTCTAAAACTTTGAATTATTAGTTTCTCATTTTAAAAAATAAAGATGAAAATCGAAAACTTTTTTTCTATAGGTGTATGAAAGAAAATATTTAATTCCATACCAAAAATGACTATTTTTTTTATTTAAATTCATTTTTAATGATATTAAATTAAAAGTATAAATTACCAAGTAAATTTCTATTTCGATCAATCAATTTATAATAACAGTTATTTTTTCATAATTAGAAGGCAAAAAGTCAAGTAACATTTTTAACTAATAAATATTTACTCGAGTCAGATAAATATTCATTTCACTCAAATAAATATTTACTTGAATCAAATAATTTTTATTTAAATAAATTTATTTTAAATTCGACAAAAATTTTTCTCGACACTCATCTTCGACGCTAACTTTAGTGATCGAATAAATCAAACAATAAATTATTAAATGAAATATTTTTTTCTTTTGCCAAATAGAAAAGTAACTAAAAAGTATAGTGAACAGAAAAATCAGTAAATTACTTTTTGCTACGAAATTAGTTATTTTCAACTAATTAAAAAAAGACTAATTAACTCTCAGCTAAGAATAATTCAGATCAGTAGTAAACCAAAATAATAACTCCAAAAGAATACTATTTTTTCCACTGCGAGAAAAAATTGCCAAGAAGGGAAAAACTTGAAGAATAGCTAATTTTCAATTCCTATATAAAATAAAAAACATTTTTTTTTGACAATATTCTTCAGAAATGACGCACACACCCTTTTTCTTTTAGAGATTCAGAGTTCCTGTCTCTTTATAGAAATTTCATTTTATAAAGAGGTAGGCGTGAACCCTCAACCTACACGAGTAAATCTCCAAGCTTGACTATTCACCAACTTCTATTTTTTTCAATTTTATTTTTTTCCGATTGTAAATCGTGGGTTCGTCACACCGTAAATCCTCTATGACGAAATTGCCAAGATCTCTAGTTGGTAAACTGAACCCGGTCAGGCGAGTAATCAGAATCGATATGGACTTCCTCACCGGAAGTTGACAGTTACACCAATAACAATTTCAATTAAAGATCATCTTCAACGAAGCCTATTATTATTTTCCTAAGTCAACTTCTTCTTCTTTTTTTTCTTCAAGAAAGAGGAAAAAATTGCCCGAAGAAAGACAAACTCGAAGGGAGACCGAAAAAACTTTGAGTTATCGAAAAGTTTGAGTTGTCAAATGTTAATAATGCCTATAAGGAATGAACGGGACCCAAGAATTACTTTGACTTACCGAAAAATTTGAGTTATTGCGCTTTGTCTTATCGAGAGTTGACTGTATTTATTTGAAAAACTTTTCTTACAATTTTAAAAATAGAAAAATTTTTCGAAAAATTTTCTTTCAATAATTTTATTGATAATTGAGAAATTAGGCCTTCAATCGATCGCCATCTATTGACTTGAAATTGAACACAAACGTCCACGATAATACTTATCTAAGAAGCAATAATTGTTTTTTCCATTAAACGATAAACGAGTTTCTTTCACTTTTCCTTCAATCGACTAGCCAACGCCATCGGACGGAACGAGTCTTAACTCTTATTGACTTTTACATTATTATCAACCGCAGGTTAATTTGCAATCCAACTTTTTCAAAAATTAACAAAAAAAATTTTTTCTTTCGCAAATTTTGAAATTTTTCTCACTCGCGACAAATATTTTTATTTGCATTTCCCCAAAATTTCAAGTGTTCAAATAAACAAAAATTTTTTTCTCTTGCAAAATTTGAATTCTTTTTCACGACAATATTTTGTATATTAAAAAAATTAATTCTTAACTAACTAAATGTTTAAAGAGACTTCTCTCATTGCTACTGATGAGTTTTTTAAAAAGTTTTCGTAACTGTCGATGTCGATTGTCACACGTGAGAACGTATTTTTACTTTGTTAAACCAAAAAAAAAGAAGCAAGAAACAAACTCGATTTTTTTTCTCCTTCCTTTCCGCACTGACTAACAATGTAATAAAGACCAAGTTTTCCATTTACACGATTAAATAACAAAATTGAAGTCCACAACGTTTGTCAACGAAAAAAATTTATTTAATGCATTCAAGT